TCACCGAGTTATAGTCAGCACTATGCACTGGTAATTGGGGAAGGGGGCAGACTGGTAATTGGAGAAAGCACTCACCTAAACATTAGTTGATGTTTCACTTATTTTCTTTTATGTAGTGAGTGGCTGCCATGTTGGACAGGGCATGCCTGTAGAAGATGCATTTACCTGGAAGAGGATGCTTTCAGGATGAACAAAGTGAAGTGGGCAGGAACAACAGAGGCAGGAGTGATTAATTAATCAATCCCAAATGCAAGGCTGCTTAAGGGTCCATCAGTAGTGTCTTGAGGATCATATATTTCCATCAAGTCTTTGGCAGGTACTGGGATACAACCAGCTCATGACATCACGACTAACAAGGGCTCACTTTGCCTTGTTTTACAACCTTCATTAAGATACTACCCTGGCTTCCCACACCACTTCTGGTAAGTCAGGTTGCAATGGAGGTCAAGTTTATTTTCTCTCCCCAAAAGAGACAGTGCTAGAGTACAGACTCTGGCTATCCTGGTGTGTTGGATAGAATCAGAACTTTATTGAGCCTTTCAAGGACACACACAAGTTCACAAGGAACATTTTAAAAATTCTTCTCTATCTTTGACTTTGAAGAAGACCACCATTTGGGACAGGTATTATCAGCTTGTAGTGTGGTTTTCCTATCAAATTCTTAGTGACTTTCTGCAGTGGATGAAGTAACTTTTCTGGTGAATGCTGGAACACTGCTCTCTCAGATTCCAGGGCTTATGACTTGTGAACTAGACTTAAGATGAATCAACTGCTTTCTAAAGAGCATACAGGATGCCTACTGGCAGCCCTGACAGAATTGAGTTAGAGCATGGGTGAGCCATGCCAGAGTGATACCCCTTGCTGTATGTGGTATATTGTAAGGACATCTGTGCCTGTTGGGGTTTTAGTTGTGCTGGGTTGTAGGTGTTCGCCATCTTGCAATGTTGAAAATGAAACCCAGGGCTTCGTGCATGTTCCTTAAGGGTCACACTACTAGATTACATTCATTCAGAGATGGTTTGGGTCTGTTGAGTTCAAAGTCAATAAGAAATTACTTAATAAACATTACAAAATTGTGTCTTATTGCTCTTAACCCCTTACCTAATGAAATGTGGCCAGAGTACGTCAGGAGTGGTCAGTTCTACATGTTATTAGCTCAGTCTACTGTTGTGGAGTGTTTACTTTTGTTGTTCGGTCGTAAAGTAGGGGAAGAGTATTAAAAGAAGACTCAGTGGAATGATTAGGTTTATGGTTTAGGAGACACTGATACAGAACCTTGAATTATTGTAAGAAAAGTACATGGACATGATGAAAATTTAAAAAAAAAGGTAGCAGGCTGTACCCTGACAGGAAATAGTTTCTTCTTCTTGACCCCTGTACTTAATTCCCTAGACATAACCTGTATTAGCAGCTCTCATGTGTGAACTTCTAGAACATTTTTATGGTTGAGGATTTAGGTATACACATACAAATGGAAGAGCATTTCTCTATCTCTTGCTGGATTTCAGAACATATTTCATGTCAGTATACAGGCATGTCTCATGTTTTCTAACCCAGCAATGCAGTAAGTTGTTGTGTGGAAGAGCTGCCTTTCACACAGCTAGTCCTCTCTGATGACCACTGTCCTGCCTGTGCTTGCCTTTGCTGTTGTAAGCAGAGCTACAATGGAGAACTTGGTGCACTCTACCTTATGTCTATGTTACTGTTTTTCTCTAATACATATTTAGAAGTGCCATGATTAAGTTGAAAATGCATGTATAAAATATTTAAATGTTGAAATAACTACAGACTTCTAGAACCTTTGCAAATACAATATGAAGAGATTGGTACTCAACTCTCTTCGATGTATATTGGTTACCTGATGCGCTGGTAGCCTCCAGTCTCAGCACACTGGACTATACTTCCAACAATCCAGAGCATGTTCACTATGCCAGCATCTGAGTCTCTGACTGGTTGTTCAGTGCTGAGAGCACTTCCTTTGGGGGATTTTGTCTATTTCAATATTGAACTTTACTACTGAGGTAAAGTTTATTTTAGCTGAAAAATAATAGTTGTCTGTATTTATGGAGCACACTTTTTGAAACAAGGTCTGTGTATAACCTAGCCTAGCCTTGAACTCACAATCCTGCTTCACCCTTCTTTATGCTGGCTTGCAGACATGCTCTACCAGGCTTCTTCCTAATGGTCAAGGTCCAGGTCAAGTATGTGCAGGATCCTGGTCTCCTATTCACAGAACTGAAATAAAGGCTTATGTAGATTGCAAAGCACCAGGAAACTTATGGCCTTTCTCTGGAACAACAAGCCAAAGTAAGCTTTCTTCCTTATGTTGCTGTTGCTCATGGTGTTTTAACACAGAAAAGTAACTGACTCAATGGCCTTTCCTTCATCCCAGCCCCTGTCACATGCAGGGGAGAAATGGCAGCAGGTGTCCAGGGCAGGAAGCTGAGAGATCACATCTGCAAATGTGAAGCAGAGTGATTGGGAATCGAGGCAAGGCTACAAACCCTCAAAAGTCTGCATTTCTAGATTCCATATACGCAATATCTTGAAACATTCATCCATCTATGTTGCTGTGAGTGAAGCAGTTTCCTTCCCCATGCCCCCGATATGTTATACATACCATGTTATTCTTCTTTGTAGTGCTAGGAATTGGACATAGGTCTTTGCACATGCCAAGTAAGCATTGTATCACCAAGCCACAACCCTAGTCTAATAATGTTTTCTTTATTCATTTACCCATTGATAAAGCTTAGGTTATTTCCCATATCTTGGCTACTGTGAATAATTGTGCAGTGAGCATGAGAGTGCAGAGGCCTCTGACATACCAACCTCAGTTCCCAAGTTTGGTATAACTGGATTATATAATTCTGTGCTTACTTTTCAGGAGTGTCCATTCTGTTTTCCATATTGGCTATATTAATTTATATTCCTCCCAACAATACACACAGATTTCCTTTTCTCTATAGCCTCTCCAATGCCTGTTATCAGTCATCTCTCTGATACTAGCCATTCACTAGGTATAAGATAGAGAAGCTCTGTGAGTTGTTTTTGTGATTTCTTCTCTCTGCTCCTATCTCTTTGTCCTTCCCTTCCCTTACCTTCCTTTCCCTTTTGTTGACAGAGTCTTGCTGTACAGCACACAGACAGCCTCTGAATGGTGATCTTCATGCTTCTACTTTCTGTGTGCTAGGATTAAAGCTAGCTTCACTGTAGTTTCAATTTGTGTTTCCCCAAAGATTAGAATTGTTGTACATTATCTTCTAATTCATCTGTTGACCATAAGCATCATTTCTTTGGGGTAAATGTCACTTAATTGCATGGGTCGTTTCTGTAGCTATGGCGAAGCATTTTACTTGGCTGCAACTATGTTAGTCTCCTTGTTTTTGTGGTGCTGGAAATTGAACCCAGGGCTTCCTACATGGTAAGAGAGCACTTGACCTTTAAGCTACACCTCACCGTTGCAGTTTGCTTTTCTGCGGATGCTTTTGGAATGCTCTTCAGGAAACTATCAACCAAACCAATGCCCAATACTTCTTTTAGTAGCTCTTCAGTTTTGGGTATTGCGTTTAATGAATTACAAATTAAGTATGACTCAGTTACTGTACTGGAATAAAAATCTAATTTTATTCTTTTGTGTTTTCCCACCAGCAATTCCTGAAGACACTATCCTTAACCCTTTGTGCTTTTTCAGCTGTCTGTAAGAGTTACACTTGGATTTATTTCTGGGTTATATGTTTTATGCCACAATTTTTTTGCTTTTATTTTTGGCAGCTTTGTAGCATAAAGGTTGAGTATCCCTTATACAGATCATCTTGGATTTCTGACATTTATATTATACTCAACAACCCATAGTTTGAAATCAGGGGTATGGTCATTGACCAATGTCTGCCCTGTCACTTTCCACACTGGCCACACAGGGCTTTCACTTATTCTGAACTATGTTCCAGAAGTGGGGTTAGAAGCTCATGCTACCAAGTGCTACTTTTACTTGGGTGGCTGGGATGCAAACTTGTGTTCTTACACTACCATAGCAGAGTGGTCTTTGCAGCCAGCCTGATTTTCTAGTTTCTATTTTATTTCCATTCTGAACTTAATTTTTTTTTAAATGTTTTGCTATGCTTGGCTTTTCCATTGGTCTATTTTCTAGCTTTCTAAGGTGTAACATAAGGGCTATCGTGATGGAGACTTTTCTGTCAGGACTGCTTTCAGTTTGAGTATATTGTTTTTCCATTTGCCCTTGTCTCTGGATACTGTTTGGTTTCCCTCTTAATGTGTTTTGTTTATTTGATTGTTGAGAAGAGGGTTGTTTCATTTCTACATATTTGTGAGTTATCTCTGGCCATTCAGTTTTAGTTTCATGCTGTTGTAGTCAGAAAAGAGACTTGATGATATGATCCTAGTCTTCTGTAATCACTGCTGGGATGTGCTTTGTTTATTAACACATGATCTGTGATATTCCCTGTGTGTGTGTGTTTGCAATGGTCTGTACATACTTGTAAAACCCACTGTTTTCTTGCTATGCTTAGATCATCCATTTGATGATGGAAGTTTTCTATTACTGTGTTACATTCTTTGTTCATATCTATTAATGATTGCCATATAGGTTTGGGTGCCTGATGGTGGAGACATATATCACACACATTTTGCCTTGTTGATGAAGTAGCCCTTTTGCATTATATAATGATTTGTTTCTTTCTATCACGTTGGAGTGTTTGACTTCTGGCCTATTTTTTCCTGTTGTAAGTACAGCTACCTTTGATTTTTGTTTTCCATTTGCATTCCCATTCCCTTATGTTTTTAAATGACAAGACAATGTCAAGAGTATATTTTAGCATCAGCCTCGGTGGTTGAACACTTGCCCGGTGCATTCTAGTTTCTAGGTTCAGTTCTAGTTCCTAGGTTCTAGCTACAAATTATAATAGCAAAGACAAAGAAAATATTGCAATGTTACTGTTCATTTTAAGAACCTCCTAAACTTAAAATTGTCTTCTCCTTTGTAGGATATGGAGACTCAGATGAATTTAATCTGGAGGATGCACTGAAAGAAACTTCCTCAGTAAAGCGTGAGTCAAGCAAACAAGTTCACAAAGCAAGGACTAGTGGTCCACCGTGTTACACTCACAATCTTGCCTTCAGAAAAGCAGACACACACAAGATTAACTGTATCTCCATCTACCTGTTTGTTTTTGCTTACATGTGCTAGGCTTGTGTCATATGTGTGTCATCTTCCTTTTTCATTTAGTGTATATTGAATCCATGAGAGAATGTGCATCTGGCTTAGCCTCTTCCCTGCTGTACAAGAAGAGAAGTTTGACTTGTTTCATTTTTCTCATTTTTTTTTTTTCTGTTTTGAGACAGAGTCTCTTAATTTAGCCTTGGCTGCCCTGAAATTCTCTGTGCCGACCAGGCTGGCTTTGACTTGGGTCCTGTGCTAGAGCAACAGTGACTCTTGGCCACTGATCTGCATTTCTAGCTTCAGAACCCATGTCATTTTATCGTTCCTCAGTGTGATCCTTACAATGGTCTCAGGGACTGATACCAAGACTATTTTCATGATGTGACTTCTGCAAACCGTAAAGTAGCTGTTACATTTTACAATCTGCTCCCTTGTCCTCCCTTCTCCCTTCAGAGAGATGGGACCACTTCAGTACCACGACTAGGAGGCCAGTAACAACCAGAGCCCCAGGAAATCCAACAGGTAACAAGGCTTGCCTGAAATGGGAAGTGAGGAAGGCAAGACTCATCTGAGAAGGGAAGTGAGGAAGGACTCATTGGAACTTCATCTGGGACAGTATGAGAAGGAACTATGTAGAGTTTTTAGCTGCACATATGAAAAGCCAGCAAAGGCACCCGTCTGACTGTTAAATTTATTTCAAAAGAATCCTGTCTGGTTGGTTACTGTGCCTTATGTGAAGGCAGTGCATTTTATTTGCTTATTGGTTTGGGTGAGGGTGATGGCTGCCAGAAACCAGGTACCAGAGGCAGAAGGGGTGACCTGGCCCTGACTGGAGCCTCAGGCTATCCCCATAACCCCCCCCATAAACATGAGCCATTCATAGTTTAGCAGAGTGAGATAGCCTCAGGCCACAGGAGAACTCTTCAGTGAAGAAGCTCAAACATTTTCTCTAAATTCTCCAAGTTTTTTAAGATCTTGAGAGAATTTGTTTATGTGAGTCACATCTATAAATATTTCTCATCTGAGAACTTAAAACTGAAAAACTGTTATTAACCTAAAGAAAATAAAAAGCCATATGCATTGACATATGTGGCAGATTTTTATGAAAAATAACTGTGCTTATAAGATGAAAATACAATTTAGAGTGATGAGTGACATTATTTTACAGTTTTCTGTAATGTCTGGCTTAAATAGAATATACCTGGATTCTTTGTGTGTTTAGTGCTGTGAGACAGGATATTACTATGTAGCCCAGGACTGGGACTCACTATGTAGACCACAATTTACTAGGTAGACCAGACTGGCCTCAAACTCACAGATATCTACGTACCTGCCTCTGACCCCTTATTCCCTGTGCTGGGATTAAAGATGTGCATCACCATACCAGGCTTCGCCTGGATTCTCATATCTGCATCTGTACTGAGCTGTTATAAGTTCCTGAGGTCCAATGCAATATGTGAAGAAAACCCAGGCTCATGCAGATATACAATAGAAAAAGGAAAAAATAACTTAATATCCTTTTATTTATTTTTTCATTTATTTATTTATTTATTTATTTATTTATTCATTCACTCATTCACTTTATATCTCAATTGCTGCCAGTTTCCCTGCTCCACTCACACAGTCGTCTCTCCCTCTGTGTCCTTTCCCTTTCTCCTCTGCAAACTCATTTGGAATAAAACAATAGTTTAAAGAATCAGCTAGATGTTGAAAAGCTGTTCATATCACAGTCACCAGAAAGGTTTTTGAAAATTCTATATTTTATTTTAAATTCCAAGTTTTGTTATTGGCAGCAGATTTGATCAGGGTACCTGGAGGGATGATTCAGTACTGAAAAGTACTAACTGCTTTTTCAGAGGATGATCTGGCTCTGTGAGCATCTGCATGGCAGCTCACAGCTGGCTACTGTTCCAGCAGATCTAACTTCATAGTCATGAAACTGTAGCACAGATTTGCTTGCAGGCAAATCACTCATATACATAAAACAATTTTTAAAAACTCAGATCCTATCAGGGTTTGTATTCAGGTAGTAGGAAATTCTATTCATTTGCAAGGAAATGTCTGACACATATTCAAGTTTGCATAATAGTTGTTATTTAAATTAAATCTTTAGGTAGTAGTCTTGGTTTCTGTAATTCAAGAAAAGCTATCTGCAGGGAAAAGTGCCTCATGCTGCTGAGAGTGTGTCAGTCTGTGTATTTAGGGTGTTCTTTAAACCATTCGAACATGCTTCTATGTCAGAGAGAATTTGTATTTTGTTCACTTAGTCTGAGACAGGGTCCCAGTAACTCCAACTGATGTCGAAAATGCCATTGTAGACCAGGATAGCTTTGAATTCACAGAGATCCAGCTGCCTATGCTTTCTAAGTGCTGGCATTAAAGGTGTGCACTACAACCAGGCCATACTTCAATAAAAGTATTTCTACTTTGTAGTAATTTTCCAGTGCTGCTAAGCACACTACCCTAAATAAATTTAGCAGTTTAAAACAATATTCACTTTTCTTCTACATTTCCCTGTGATGAGTCTCAAATTTATTTTTATCCAGTGTTTTAAAATTGAAATCTTATTTTGGTTTGGCTTTGGTTTTGGTTTTTATTTCCTTTTTTCATAGTCTTGCTGTGTAGCCAGGCTGGCCACCAATTTGCCTTCCTTCTCCCTCTGCCTCCTCAGTACTGAGGTTAAGGCATGTGCAATCATATCTGACAATACTACATTTTAATTTGTAGTTCATCATAGATTAAGTCTCATGTTCTCATCACCCAAGTTTCCACAGATAACTTCTTGTACTATCTTGGCACATAGATGCAGCCTGTCCATTTTGCAGTTTTATTTGTACATGAAAATAGCATTTGGCAATTTGTGCATCTGGCATTCTAGTCAGATACTGAATAGTGCCATCACCATAAGCACTCCATGATCCCTTTTTACCTCAGCAGCCTGCCTTAGGTCTAGCCTTCTTTCTCCATTCCTTCTCTAATCCCACTAATCTGTTTTCCGTTTGTAAAATGTCATTTCAAGAAGGTTATATAAATGTACTGTGCTATGCTGAGCTTAAAGAAGGATGAATCAGAAATTTCTGTCCATCCTAGTGGAACAGATAGAGAGCATGCTTTCAATAATAGTGAGTTCTCTCCTTTATCCCATTTTATTTTATTTTGATTTCCTAGCTTATGTGATGGTTAACACATTTAGGGCCTGTTAACATTTAGGGGCTTTCCCTCTTAGTTAATGGTCCTCAGAGATACCTCGCAGACACACCTGACAATATGATTTACTGATTTTCCATGTACTTCTTGATCTAATGAAGTTAATCATCAGGATTAGCCAGCCTAGGTCCAATCTAGCTTCATTCTTGGCTCAGTGTCTCCTACAAAGTCACAATACAGATGTCAGTTGGTGCCAAGGTGTCAGTTGAAATCAGAGGTTCTGTGAGCTTCCTTTTGGTCCTCTGATAGGGATGAATGACCACAACCTTTGCTGCTTAAACAACAGACATTCATCTTATAATCATTGAGATAAAAATGCAGAATGAATAGGATAGGCTGCAGTAAGCATATTAGCAAGGCTGCATTCCTTTTGGAGGCTTTGTGGGAGAGTGTTTTCTCCCCTTTTGCCATCTACATTCTTTGGCTTATGACTACTTCTTCCATCTTCAAAACCATGGACATGCCAGTGTTTTCCTTTTTCAGTTTGTCTGTTTTGGTGTATCTGTTTGTAGCCCAGGCTGATTTAAAACTTGTTATATAGTTCAGGCTGCCCTCAAAGTCCTGATCCTCCTGAGTGTGATCTGCCTCTCAAATGCTGGGATTCTAAGTGTGCATCACCACACTTGGCTCTTATGGATCTTCTGTGCATACAGTCTTGTCACCTATAGACAGTTTTCAATATTCTTTTCTTGTTCTTGCTAGTACTGCTGGTACTGTGTTGAATAGAATTGGTAGAGTACGCACAATTGTCTTGTTCCTCAGGTTAGAAGAAAAGCTTTCAGTGTTTCCCCTTGACTATGATGGTCCTTGTTCCCTAATCCTATGTGGTCATTATTCAGTTGAGTTAGTTACATTACTTTCATCTTAGTTACTTTTCTAGTTGCTGTAAGAAAATATTAGGACAAAAGCCAAGTAAGGGAGAGTTATTTTTGCCCAGTTTGAGTGATGACAGTGTGTGTTTCTCTCACTCTGTCCCTTGTGTACAGGCTAGGATCTCAGCCCATGCCATCTACCGTGGGTGGTTCTTCTCCTCACAATTAAACTAGTCAAGATAATCTCCTACCACATAGCCAGAGGCTTGTCTCTCAGGTGGTTCTAGAGCTCATTGAGTTAACAACTTCTATGGCTGATATGCGGAGAATTTTCATCAAAAAGATGTTAAATTTTGTCAATTTGTCTTTCTATACCTACTGAGATGATCACATGATTTTTATGCTTCATACTTTTAATGTTTAATGATTTAACTTTTGTCGAGCAATCTTGTGTCCCAGGCATAAATCCAGTTTTGATCATAGGGCGCTATCTTTTAAATGTGCTGTTGAATTCTGTTTGCTAATGTTTCCTTGATGACTTTTGCCTCTGTTCATGTACTTTTGCTTGTTTTCTTATCTAGCTTCACATGAGGGTCATGCTCTTTTCATGAAATGAATTTGGAATTATTTCCTCCTCTTCAAATCTGCAAGAATTTGAGAAGGATTAGCTTTACTTTTTCTTTGAAGAATTCATTTTTATAGCCTTCTGTTACCTGGACATTTCTTTGTTGGGAGGTCTTTGATTACTCTAATTATTATTCATCCATTTATATTTTGATTTTCATAATCATCTTTAATAGTTTGTGTGCTTCTAGAGCTCTATCCATTTCTTCTTGCTTGTCTGATTTGATAAAATCTCTTGTCCATTGTAGTTTCTTATGATCCTTTGTATTTATTTAGTATTTGTTGCAATGTCTCCTCTCACATTTATCATTTTGAGTCATTAGAACAGAAATAAAGGTTTTGAATCTTGTTTATTTTTTTTTAAAAAGCCACCTGCAGATTTCCATCCTTTCCTCTCCTCCGCCTTGTTTGACCCCGTTTGTTCTGTAGAACAATCTAGGACCTCCGTGTAAATGTATGCTAACCTCTGAGCTACCCCGCCAGCCCCCTGGAACCTTAGCTCCAGTAAAGCTTCCTGTTGGGTTTCTTGTCTAGGATTCTTTGTCCTCCCTCATTTCTCCATATCCTCCTACTCCTGTGCCACTTCTTCCTCTTTCTCCCTCTTTTGAGACTGAGTCTTACTATCTTGGCAAGTAGTCCTAACTGAATCTCAAATGCAACATCCTCCTGCCTCAGCTTCCTGAGTGCTGGCCTTTCCAGCTTCTTAACAGCTTTTCCTCTTATGGGCCATGCTTCTGTTGTCAAATGTGAGAACTCTTTACCAAACATTCAATTCTGAAACACTTCCTTCTGAAAATCTTATGATTTAATATTTAAGCAAATATAATCTATCCATTTGCAGTTAATTTTATATAAAATGAAACCCATTGCTTTTTATTTTGGAAATCTAATTATTCCAGTACCTTTTGCTGAAAATATTTGCTTTTTCTTTGAGTTCCTTTGCATATGTATAAAAAATCACTTGAACAGATCTGAAGTCTTTTGAGCTCTTCCTTCTGTTCTGTTGCCTGTATCTATCTATTTGCCACATCTTTGACAAATGTTAACTATAAAATGAGCCTTAATATTAGGTAGAATGATTCATCCTACTTTATTCTTTTTAAGGTTTTAAAAAGCTAATCTAAGGTTCTGTCTTCCTCAAAAAATTTTAAATCAAATTTGACTATTTCAGGAAAGAAACAATCAATGGGACTTCTATAGGCTTGCATTGAACGTAGAGAGCAGTGTGGGAGCTGATGCTGTCACTCTGATGCATTTTCTGCGGTGTGTGTGTGTGCGTTCCTGTGCGTGTGCGAGTGCGTCTGTGTGTGTATCCACCACTCACAAAATAGAACTTCCTGCACTCTGTGAAATTAGAGGGGTGGCAATGAGATCTCTTTGCTCCTGATCATACAGAAAGAAAATCCAGTCCTTAACCAAGAGACTGACAAGTGCTTCCTAGAGGACAGTCTTGAAACTGCAGTAGTTCTCCTTTATTCCCTACGTGACTCAGCCGCTCACATTGTATCCACACTCAGGAAGCACAGACATGGAGACAGGAAGTGAGCTAGTGAAGCTCAGATGTCAGCTTCCAGTGACATATTTCCAAAAGCAGGGCTCAAGTGTCCCAATGCATGAGCCTGTAGGATCAGTTCACGTTTGAACTACAACACCCATTCAATGGACTTGTGCCCATTTGTTGATTTGTGACATTGCAGGTTAGTTGTTTAGAAAACCTTTCTGTTTTTTCTTTGTTTTTTTTTTTGTTTTTTATTTTTTTTTTGTTTCTTTAAGGCAGGGTTTCTCTTGACTGTCCTGGAACTCAGTCTGTGGACCAGGCTGTCTTCAAATTCAGAGATCCTCCTGCCTCTGCCTTTTGGAGTGCTGGGATTAAAGGTGTTCATCATCACCAACTCCAAGATCTTTTCATGTCAGTGGCATAATTGTATGATTTTTCTTTATCCTGTGTATTCATTTATTTTCAGGTCTTATTTAGCTAAAATGTCACATTTCCCATGGTCTGAATAACCCTTACCCTCCTCCTTGGCAATTGAAACCCAAGCCTGGCCCTTCATTCATTGTGACATCACATATATGTATATGTATATGTGATATATATATATATATATATATATATATATATATATATCACTATATTTTGTTTCCCTCCTCTCTCCTACTTCCTCTTTTTTGTTTGTTTGTTTGTTTTCTTCTGTTCACCTCATGAATGCCTGGTGCCTAAGGAGGACAGAAGAGGATGTCAGATATCATGGGACTGCAGTTACATACAGTTGTGAGCAGCCACTGGGAGTTGAACATAGATCCAAGCAGCCAGTGCTCTTAACCACTGAGCCAGGTTTCCAGCTCATATCCACTTACTTCTTTTTATGCTTGTACTTTCATATCCAGTAAATATCTACAAATATAATATCATAAATATTTTTCCAAAATGTTTTCTGCTGAGTGTTAAAAAACTAGCCCTTTAGATCTTTGATCCACTTTTTGTTGGTTTTTATATATGGTATAGCATGATGGTCAAATTTGCTTCTTTGCATGTGTGCTCATGACATTTTCTTCTTGTGTTCTTGCTTTAGCATTGCCATTACCTTTCACTTTGAATGTCTTCACGAATAGGAACAATTATGGCAGATCCTAAGTTTAAAGAAGGAACTCATGAGTGTCATGTAACTAGTATAAAGGCAATTCATACTTCTAAAGGAAACTTGTAATCAAAGACCATTTACTATGTGTGTCTGTGTGTATGTATGTATCTGTGTGTGTTTGTGTGTATTTCTATGTTCATGTATCTCTGTGTATGTGTCTGTATGTGTGTGCATGTGCATGTGTCTTTGTTTTAACCACTTTCAGTTTGTAAGCTAATTCTCTGTATATCACATAAAATGCTAGCTTGTAAGACAATTCTCTGTATGTTACAGAAAATGCCAGCTCATTCATCTCTGAGCATTCTTATCTGCTGCTCAGTTCTTGGATTAATAGTGGAGGAAACCATAGCTTGAAGGTCTTGGGAATCATGCTTAAGCTCTAGAATTCCTTACTCAATGTGGGCAGCAGATCTGGGCTCATGTTCTAGTTCTGGTAGTGTGGTGAGGTGTGGGGCTACATTTATCTCTCAGTTCTCAACCTATAAAGAAGAATGATTAGAATCTCCTTCACTTAAACCTTTTCTATTTCTTTACCATCTTTTCCCAAGTAATTTTGAGGTTATATAGGAGCTTTAAGTACTAACAGTAATCTATTCATGGTGTGACTTCTTTAAACTATGATGTAGGTATACATTTTATTGTTAAGCATATGACTCCTGATGTTTTCCCTCCCACTTTTAGAGAGATGGGACCATGTCACCACTACTACAACTAGAAGGCCAGGAACAACTAGAGCACCATCAAATCCTATGGGTAAGACAAGCTCTCTGATCATCACTGTGGGAAGTCAGGACAGAAACTCCAACAAGGTAGGACTCTAAAGGCAGGAGCTGCTGCAGAGGCCATGAAGGGGAGCTGCTTATTGGTTTGCTCAGCCTGATTATAGAACCCAAGACCACCAGCCTAGGGATGGTACCACCCACAATGGGCTGGTCCTTCCCCACTGATTGATAACTGAAAAAATGCCTATAGAGGCATTTTCTCAAATAGGGTTCCCCTCCTTCTAGATGACTCTAGCTTGTGTTGACATTAAAACATAGCCTGTACAGTGGTGATTGTTTCTTTTGTTCTGTGGTCCCCAGAAATTGATGGGTTTGACTTGGAAGATGCCTTGGATGATCGAAATGATCTAGATGGCCCCAAAAAGCCAAGTGCAGGAGAAGCAGGAGGTAAGTTCTAGATGCTTGACATCATAGGCCAGTTCCTGGTAGCATCTGTCCTGTTACCTGTAATAGCATTCTGAGTCATCCATAGCACTGTAGATCCAGGCCACTTCAAGCTGTAGGAGAACCCTACAACAGGAATGCTGATATATTTTGATCTTGGGATTCTCCAAATTATTGGGTATCTCAATAACTTTTGTCTGTGTGAATCATAATCTATCCACATTTATCATCTGTATATTTAATTTTTAAAAATACCAGTATTATTATTGTAAAATGATTAATAATAAACCAATACTTATTAACATAAATAGCACATTATATGAGAAATTTCTTTTTGGCAAGATAAAAACAATTTAGTGAGAGAGTAGCATTCTAGAATGTCAATTTTGCTAGGAGATACCTGAATTTGCATATTGAGATATGCAACTTGAAAGCTGTCCTCTGACCTACATGTGACCTGTAAGTGTGTGTGCGTGCACGCACACACACCCTTAAATTCAATTAAATTCAAAAGGGCTTTAAAACAAAACATATAAATGAAAAATACATTTTAAAAAATGTTTAGTAACCTTCCCTCACTCAGTTCTCCTTTAATTACTTTTCTGGTTGTCCTGACCAAGTGCGTAGCAAGCAGAGCGAAGAGGAAGGATTCATTCAGCTTATCATTTCAGAAGTGATGGGCCCGACGTGACTCAGCTGCTCACATTGTATCCACACTCAGGAAGCACAGACATGGAGACAGGAAGTGGGCTAGTGAAGCTCAGATGTCAGCTTCCAGTGACATATTTCCAAAAGCAGGGCTCAAGTGTCCCAATGCATGAGCCTGTAGGATCAGTTCACGTTTGAACTACAACACCCATTCAGTGGACTTGTGCCCATTTGTTGATTTGTGACATTGCAGGTTAGTTGTTTAGAAAACCTTGTTCATTTAAGGTTTATCAAACTTCAGCATAATGCCACATGCTATAATAAAAAACCAAAATCTAGTTTGCTGTTAATACCACCAATACTACTAGAAAAAGTATTTAGTGGGATAATATTAGAGTCACAATAGTTTATAAAGGCTTCACTAGAAATCTTGTTGACAAGTACCATCAATGGCTGGCTTGAACTAATGAACTCACGTCATTCAGTTGTAAGAAGTGCTTCCCAAATAATCAAGTTGGTACAGCATTCATTCTGCCCAACAAAAGTGGTGTCATGCCACAAAGCTGATAAAGCCAACTAAGAAAAGGTACAGTGACACAAGGGAATCTTGCAAATCACCCCCAGTATTTTGGAATACAGTGGAAAGGCTTTAAATACATTTTTCACACAAAGCATAGGATGTTCAGAAAGATGCGTACTTAATAGTTGAACTATAATACACTGATTCTGCTTCTTGTATTGGTTATCTATGATTGTGTCACAAAGTATGTGAAATTGAGGAGATTTATTTTTACAGAAATTCATAAAGATTTCCTTTGTTCAGTTAAGAAGCTGAGTTTTCTATAGAGTCAGAGTCTCAGGTAGCTGCAATCAAGGTACTGGGATGGAGTCTCTCTCTGAGCTTAGGTTCTCTTCCAAACAAGGTTATGTGGTTGTTGATAGGGTGTCTTTCCCTTCAGCTATAGAGGCAGTGGCTCTTTTAAGAGTAATGGGAGAAAGAGAAGAGACTTTAGCTTTCAGTGTCTGAGCTCAGGGAAGCCCAAATTAGCTTCGAAAGAGTTCACTTGGCTGATTCGGGCCCTTAATTACTTTGAAAAAAATCCCTTCATCTTTGGCATATAATGCAACTTAATCACTAGGGTCATATTCATTCTCTCTGTGGTCATACAAACACTGGAGGTGATTGGAGGTTCTACAGAACACATATACTGGCAGTGGGCAATCTGAGGGGCCAGTTGCAATTATGCCTACCACTGTCATCGTTTTTCATCTCCTTCCCTTCCTCCTCCTTCCCCCATCTATCCTTAGTTTGGGCATAAAGCATAGTTCTAAGGGCCTTACATCTGCTGCATCACTGAACCAGACTCCTATACCATGAAGAATACCCATGTATCATGGACATCATTTACTAATCCAAGTATTTGCTGCTCAGATTTTTTTTAAAAAAAGATTTATTGATTTATTTTATGTATGTGGGTATACTGTCACAGTCTTCAGACACACTAGAAGACAGCATCAGATCCCATTACAGATGGTTGTGGGCCACGATGTGGTTGCTGGGAATTGAACTCAGGACCTCTGGAGGAGCAGTCAGTGCTCTTAACCGCTGAGCTATCTCACCAGCCCCAAGATATTTTTTTGCCACTGAAATGTATGGTTTTTTCCATAGGTCTGTCAGACAAGGATCTTGAAGACATCATGAGAGGCGGGGGATACAAACCTGACAAGAATAAAGGTAGGAATATTGCTTTGTCTGACAACACACTGAGTTCTCCTTAAAATGCTGACTATTTGACCTCTGGGTAAAGCATGCCATTTTTAGCGTCTGGAAAATCAGGCTTAGACATTTGCACTTGTAAGGTGGAGTGGGCTCTCATTCTTGTGGCTGGGGGCTCATTTGGAAGCTATCCTGGAGAAGCTGCTCATTTGTTCTGTTGTTCTTTAAGCATGAGCTAGTGTCCCCACCACCTGTGTACACCTTATAAGGCAGCAGCAAGGACTGGCCTATGGTCGGATAGTCGCACAGGGCATTATAGTATCAAGAAGACAACCCTCTCTGCTTGGAGAGCCAGTTTTCCATGCATTCTGAGGGTTCAAACTTAACATGGCAGACATTTTAAAGAAGCCCCCAGCAAATCCGATGTTTACAAAATACCTTTGAATTCTGTTTCTACTTCCCAGGAAGATTCATGCTTCTCTCCTATTAGACTAGAAGAAGTGGAAACTGTCCTTGAGATATACTGTATGAGAGAAGAATCTGTTTTCAATTTAACACACACACACACACACACACACACACACACACACACACACACACA